ATCACTGTGGGTTATATCATTAGTGTTATTTAACCTCGATTTTCTCTAGAACTTCCATGCCCTCCCTTGTAATCGGGGCCAAGTTTCTCGCTAACGGGGGGTTTCCGCGCAATAAAACTTACATATTTGGAATGTGGACAGTGAGAGGAATCCAACGATACCAAAATCGTCGATATCGGTGAGGCGAAGGTAATATAGAAAATTACCAAACCCATTATTATTTTTATTATAACCATTATTTTAGTTAGCATCATTATCATTTTCTTTGATGATAATAACAACAATAATGATAGTGGTAATTAGGTAATATTGAGGTTGACAACACTATTGATAACACTGTTATTGCTACTACTGTTTTAATAATATATGATAATAACAGACAATAACAGTAATATTAACTATCAATAACCATTACTAACAATATAATGATAATAAGAGTAATAATAATAATAATATGACAATGGTATTAATAATGATAATAAAGATAATGGTATAAATAATAATTATTATCATTCATCTTTACCATTATTATTAATATTATCATTGTCATAACAATGATGATAATAGTAATAAGAATAATAACAAACAACGATAACTAACAAAAGCAATAACAATATAATGATGAATGATGATAATCATAGTAACAGTGATAGTAATAATGATAATGATAATGATAATACCATTAAACAATAATAATAATAAAATTTTGCACCGTCACTATCCATATCTCCCTAGAGATAATTACAGGTTATCCTTGTCATTGATTTTATAAAATTATCATATTCATTACCCAACAGCCACCTCAAGGTTATTGCAGCTGTTATCCTTGCCATTAGGTAATTAATGATCATATTCATTACCCAACAGCCACTCAAGGTTATTGTGTTATCCTTGCCATTAGCATATCCATTACCTCAAGGTTATTGCAGCTGTGCCATTAGCCATTGGGTTATTGCAGCTGTTATCCTTGCCATTAGTTACATATCCATTACCAACAGCCAACTCAAGGTTATTGCAGCTGTTATCCTTGCCATTAGTTAATTAATGATCATATTCATTACCCAACAGCCACCTCAAGGTTATTGCAGCTGTTATCCTTGCCATTAGTTATTTAATTATCATATTCATTACCCAACAGCCACCTCAAGGTTATTGCAGCTGTTATCCTTGCCATTAGTTATTTAATTATCATATTCATTACCAACAGCCACCTCAAGGTTATTGCAGCTGTTATCCTTGCCATTAGTTATTTAATGATCATATTCATTACCCAACAGCCAACTCAAGGTTATTGCAGCTGTTATCCTTGCCATTAGTTATTTAATTATCATATTCATTACCCAACAGCCACCCAAGGTTATTGCAGCTGTTATCCTTGCCATTAGTTATTTAATGATCATATTCATTACCCAACAGCCAACTCAAGGTTATTGCAGCTGTTATCCTTGCCATTAGTTAATTAATTATCATATTCATTACCCAACAGCCACTCAAGGTTATTGCAGCTGTTATCCTTGCCATTAGTTATTTAATTATCATATTCATTACCCAACAGCCACTCAAGGTTATTGCAGCTGTTATCCTTGCCATTAATTAATGATAATCCATTACCCAACAGCCACCTCAAGGTTATTGCAGCTGTTATCCTTGCCATTAGTTAATTAATGATCATATTCATTACCCAAAGCCACCTCAAGGTTATTGCAGCTGTTATCCTTGCCATTAGTTAATTAATTATCATATCCATTACCCAACAGCCACCTCAAGGTTATTGCAGCTGTTATCCTTGCCACTAGTTATTAATTATCATATCCATTACCAAAAGCCAACTCAAGTTATTGCAGCATCCTTGCCATTAGTTAATCAATGATCATATTCATTACCCAACAGCCACAAAAAAAAAAAAAAATCCAAACTTACCTGTATCTGTCAACGGTAAGAACTTCTTTATTCCTCGTCCAAGTTACCTGTAAGAAACAGGTGAAGTATTAATTGAAAAACTAGATCTCGGAGGCCCAGTGCACAGGGGTTCTTCGGGGGTTCCCAGGGGGTTCTTCGGGGCTTCCAATGGGGTTTTCCAGCCGACAACATCCCGAAGCGTGCAGTGTCTCACCCACCAGATGCATGGGGATGTCGACTCATATCCGGTTGGGCTGAAGACCTTCGGAATTCAGGTGCATTCTCAAAAACTTAATTCTTATTTTATCAACTGAATGGGATGCTCTACATGTTCTTAATTAGTCCATTATAGCCTGCAGATCGGCAACTCATCCTTTTTTGTAACTTCTGTTGTGATTCCTTTATTATGATGGCGCGCATTCAGAGTGCCATGAGATATGTGTTTTTATGAGAAAAGTATTATATTGGTCTGCGCGTGAGATTACAACCAAACAATTATATCATCTATTAGCGCTCATATTCATAAATAAGCGTATCATATAACGTATATCTGAACAACCATTGAGAAGAGAATAGAGTGCTGAGGCGGAGTGGGTGCAGAGGACTACAAAGTTGATCAGTGACAATTTGGAGGCAGTACTACATGACTGTACGTATCTGTGGCCCGACGCCAACCGAGTCTCAGGTGTTGCATCAAAAGCCGAACTAAGAGATATTGTGAGATATTTGTAGGCGTATGACATAGAATTCCCGTAGACTGTTGTACTTGCGAGAGAGAGTCGAGTGGCCTGCAACCGGAATAATTAGACGATCTGATTGCAATTCTCGCAAAATGTCATCAAGTTCTGGTGGAGTGGATCAAGACTTAATGGACCACCCTACTAGATATATATAGCTATACTGAGGGATAATTAGTACGGCTGGAAAACCCTCAACATATTGTGAAGTCACCTACTGATAGAACCTATACCCCTTGGGAACCCCTGAAGAACCTACCTGGTGCACTGGGCCTCCGAGGATCTAGTTATTTTATTTCTAATTAATATTACAACTATAGTATATTATCTATACAGTAACTATGGGATGCGTGTGTGATGATGATGTGTGTGAGAGTGTGTAGATCGTCTTGTAGCATGTGTGATGTGAGCTCATGGTGCAGTGTTTATGAACGTTTAGATTATCTTTTTTATATGATTATGATGGTCTGCTTGGATAGTGTAATATGAAATAATGATCAATTGATTAAACTAATGGCAAGGAATAACAGCTGACAGACACAAACATATATGTATATGATGTGCTCTTATTATGGGTAAATGGATAATGATTAAATTAATAAAATATAACTAGTGGCAAGATATACTACTAGCAATAACTACTTAGAGGTGAGCTGTTGGGTGAGTATGGAATATATGATAATTAATTATTAAACTCACTAAATGAGGCTAAGGATAATCAAGCTGCAATATATAACTACTTGAGGTAGCTATTGGTGTAAATTGAATAATATGATATCATTATATTATTATACTATATGAGCACAAGGATATATAACATCTGGGTCACCAATAAACCTATTGATAGTAGTAAGGTGGTACATGTTTAGTAGGTATATATGGATATATATTAGATATAAATTGGGTCAAGTGAATATTATATTATTATATAGCTAAGCTGCAATATACCCTGGGTGGCTGTTAGGTAAATGAATAATCAGTAATATATATATATATCATAACTAATGTCAAGGATAACCAGCTGCAATATACCTTTGAGTTGTAGCTGTATGGGTATAATAGAATATGATAATTAATTAACTAATATGGCAATGATGATAACAGCTGCAATAGTACATAAAACCTATATGTAGTTGGCTGTGGAATAATAGAATATATGATAATTATACATATTATTTAACAGATATATTAAATCATATAAGGCAATAGTGATATAACAGCATGCAATAACTTCATGAGGTGGTCTAGTATGGGTAATGTAATTATGACTAACACATATATTTACCTAATATATAGCAAGGTATAACTAGCCATAGTACATTAATATCAACCTTGGCAGTGTGGAGGTAGCATTATATGAGGGTATATGAATATGATTACATTATAAATATAACTAATATGGCAAGAGATAACACATAGCAATAATACCTTGAGTATGGGCATGTTGAGTTAATAGAATATATGATAATTAAAATAACTAATGGCAAGGATAACAGTCATGCTAAATAACCTTGAGGTGGCTAAGATTGGATAGTGTTATATATGAAATATATGATAATTAAAATATAACACTCTCATAAAGGCTTAACGGCATAAACAGCTCTTGCAAATAACCTTGGTTGCGCTTGTTGGGTTATTGCATCACTGATCATTTCTAATTAACTAATGGCAAGTCTGATCAACAGCTCGCCAAATACACCTTGTAGCATTCGGCTCTCTCTGCCTTTGGCTAATCTTCGTGGGCATATGCTACTATTTTAATATACCTTAATTGGAGCTAAAGGGAATATATTACAAGTTTCCATATATTATATACTGTATTTATATGTAATTAGTACATAATAACTCAGTATATAGTGCATTAAATAAGCTTATCATACTATGGCTTGTATATATAATGTAATATATGGATATCTATAATTAACCTATATGGACAAAGTGGTATAGCTGCAAAATTTTGGTGGCTTGTTGGGGAGGTAGTAATATATGATCAATTAATTATTATAATATGGAAAGGAACCACTATTGCAGATAGTAATATTTATTATGAAGTTTGAGCTTGTTTGGGTATTAGATATGTATTATATAATTAATGGACAATAGAAACTTTAATTATTCTCATGGATAGTAAAGTAATAGGATATGAGGATTAGTAAATGTCTGTATAATAATATTATTATTTTATTTATTTTAAATAAATTGTTATTGAGTATTATTTTATCATTTATATTATCTTATACTGTAATTAATTACATTATATAATGGTTATTATAAATATCAATCTAATTATAATTAATATTATATGTATTTGAGCTATTTAATATTGTGAGTTTAGTTATATCTGTATGATTTGTTATCATATAT